GGGGAACACCCAGCTGAGACCATGTCCAGAACGTCTAGGAATGAGATCTGCAGAACAGTCTGCACCAACAGATCTGGATATCTGGTGAGGAGCTTGGTTGGGGGTACAGGAGGCAGGGGGTGAAACAGCACCCGCAAGCTCTCTTGCATCTCCTTGCTGTTTCACACGGAGCAGGCGGAAGCTGGGCAAAGTCAGACGGTGCCAGACAGCCTGCCTTCTCCTTCGGATTTGTGAATTTTACTGAGCCACACAAAAACAAGCTTAAGATGGTTTCACTGTCTGGATTAGGCTACAAAAAGTACAATGAAATCAGAAAATAACTCGGTGTCTCTATTTATCCTGAGTTTCTGCACGGTTGTGACATCTGTTTTGTCTGCCCTATACTTTCAGCTAGGCTTTGCCATAGCAGGGTTATTGCTGAAGCACCAGCTGAGGAGTAACAGCAGCCAAAGGCAAAGTTTGATACACCTAGGACAGAGAAAGCAAGTACCACCATGCAGGAGGCTGCGTGAAAGGCAAGGAACAAGGCAAATCCCTCTGAAAAAGGACATGGTTATACCGAAGGATAAGGCAACACGGGCTGAGGAAGAAAACACGGGACTGATGTGTTGTTTGACTGAGGGCTTTGGAGACTGCAGCGAAGTCTTGGAAATTAATTCCTATTATAAAGCTGACCTGGAACACGTACGTGATACAGCAGTTGCTTTAGTTTTCACAGCTCACCGGACTCCTGCCAAAATTTTCTGGCAGCATGCTTTTTGGGGAAAAAAGCTGTCTAGAGATTCCAAGAGGAAGCGTGCAGAGATGAGCAAAATGTTCAAAATCAGCAAAACATCAACTGTACTGCCTGCAAACAGAACATTTTTTTCCTGTACAACCCTTCCACTAGGGCCCAAACAGTCCAGATCTTTTTTCTTTTTTTTTCTTTCAGAAACAGAGGGGCTCAGTATCACTGCTAAAGCAGCCAAAATGAAGCAAAAGAGGCACATCCGACATCTGAACACCCACTCAGTGCCAATGCTGGTTTGTTGTACACTACCTAAACAACCCAAGGCCAGCTAAGCCCTCCAGCTTTGAAATCCTACAACTGAGATCTTCTGCATGCAGTGGCCAGCTGCCTGTTTCCATGCTCCACAATTCCTGAAGCACAGCGTACTACTCTTCCAACCACACCACACAAAATACTTTCTACACCTTTGCTTGCTGTGTGCATACCCTCTAGAATCGTCTAAATTCATGCTGGTCTTTAATAGGCAAGGAGAGACACAAGGATGGATGTCAGGAGATCTGGATTTGGTTTTCAGTCCACATTTTACACTTAAACCTGGGAAAATCCAGAACATCTGAGCCTTAATTCCTAACCTGCAAAACATGGGTACTGCATTTCTCAATTACCTTCTCTATTGTATTTTGAAAAGTGGTATTTTGGAACATTTAAGCAATGAGACATCTGTCAGGACTGGATAAAGGCCAACACTGGAAAACTCCAGCAAATTACAGTAATATCATAACAGACCCAAATAAAAAACATTAGCAAGCAAAATCCAGTGGCTGCTGCCATTCTCCCAAGACCACAAACTCCCCCTTGGGGACCACAAGCCATCTGAGGAGCCCAAAGAAATTGTCAGGCTAAAATGTTGAACCAGCTCAACCACCATTCAAACACACACCTTTCCCTGTGTGAGGAAATGCAACAGTAAAGCCCTTTCTTCCCTTTTACTTTTTATGATTCTATTCCAAGAAAATTAAAATACATACTGCACGTTTTTCCCCCATATTACGAGCTACCAAGCTTGAGCTAAGAACTAATTAGGCCTTTATATAGCTATTAGACCTATATATAAAAATCTGAATATCGTTTTATTATTTGGCAACATGGCACTATTTTTTTTTTTATTAAGAGATGGGTGGGGAATCTGAACCAGGCTGTTATCTAATTTTAAACACAGGCTGTCCACCTGCTTGGCATATCATGTTCTCCATTCCTCCACTCCACCCCTTAACAAAATAATACCTTGATTTTGCATCCTATTCCACTGCCCTCAAGGACTGGTTTATAATTACTGCAACTTTACTTGCTGTTTCAAAAGGCTGAGATCAGCCATTTTCAAAGACAAATCTCCCTCAAATTCTTAAACAGGGAAAAAGATCCTTTTTACAGGAAAAAAACTCCAAGTGGCAACAAGTCAGGATCACATTTCAGAAGGCATGTCCAGCAAAGACAGGCTAATTTTCTTTTCCATTTCAAATGCCACCCTCCTCTACTGCTTCTCCCCATAAAGCTGTGGTGGTAAATAAATCCAGGATTTAATTCAACAAGACTAGGAAGAAGATCTGTTTTCAGGTACACAATAGCACTGGTGGTCTGAGAAGGTCAAGAGGAGCAGAAACTTCTCAAGAGCTACTTCAGTACATGCATACACTGGCTAAAATCAAAACAAAGAAAAACCATGAAGCCATACTTAAAAAGTGCTGCTAACTTAACTGTTCATTAATCAAAAATTCTTAACTTTTAAAAAGCTAATCTATTCCCAAGCATGTAAAGCTGCTGCTCTCTACACCATTAGTTCACTGCTCTAGACTATTTACATATACTATCACTGCTATTCACGCGAAAGTCTGGTCTTAAGAGAGTCTCACCACACATACCTACCAAAGACATTCAACAATTCCTAGAGCTGCAGGTAAGTTCTGCAGCTGTGGTCGCAAGCTCTAGAATATGGGTCTTCTTAAATTTAAAGGACATGCCTCC